CCCCCAGGGCAGTGCTATTGACTGAAGTGTCTTTAAGCCTTTCCCCAAAGGGGATAACATGTTCTTTGGTACAGTAGAATTGTAAATGGAATGGGTTGATTTATCAATGTCATGCTCATACGGTGCCGGAACCACATAGGGGGAACTGCTGCTTTTTCTTTCGTCATCTTTACTGATCACCAATTTTTCTCTTCTTGTTTTGTATGTTTGTCACTCTCTTGTGAGAACTGCTATTTCCGAAGTGCCTTGATAGTCGAAGCTGACTTTGTGGTGTAAAGGCTAGAGAGGTGAGCAGAGTGAGCCTGATTCCCCGTTTGGACTTCTCTGTTGACATCCACCCCTTGGCGCTCATATGACCTTATGCAGTTGCGAGTGCCGTTAAACCTTACTAAAACAAAATTTTTAAAGATTCAATGCAGCAGTCTTTTAAAGAATTGTACAGTCCTGTGTAAGTTTTAAACTTTATTAAAAAACCCAGCTGAATTTAGAGCTTTTATTTCTAAAGCATGATTGTCGACTACTACCTGAAACAGAAGAATTAAGAGACTCGAAAGAAAAGACCTGTGAAGATTAATGCAAGCCATTCTCTTCACTACGTTTATCAATGACACTAGTAACAGGCAACTTCATCTTATTTTTTTTAAGGGGAAGCTTGAAAGAATGGCCATTTTGTCTCAAAAAGCTGTATGAGAAAAAAAAACAGAAAAAAAATCCTCTCCCTGCTAAGTTGATTTCAGACTAAAGGTTGTTTTCCCTTTTACTTATGTAAAGAATGATTCATCATATACACACGAAAAGTACTCTCCTCTCCCCTCGTGAAAGAATGCGCCTCCCCCCCCAGCTTTGGGATTTTGGGAGGGGTCAGGGGTAGGGGGGATCTGTGTCTGTGGTAATCTTTTCAAACATTCTGATCCAACAGTAATCTGTGTCTTGACTGAGAATAAAAGTACTCTGGTCTGATGTTTTTGCACTTTACTTTTCAACAATTATCAAGTCACTTTTCAGTCGTCTCCATTTTTACACAGTTACCCTTTACACTGGTCTTGTTCACTGCATAGTTCAGAGTAAGTCTTTATATATTAATCGAATGCTTGTTTTATTTTTTTAAATTGCCACTTGATGGACAGAGTAACATTTTTAACAAACCTGGCATGATTTAATTAGAAGCATTGTAGAACAATGTTTCATCCACTTTTCGAGAGCCTATTAATAAGCCAACAACTCAGAAAGATCTGTCTTAGCTGATTCACTTGTCTTGTGTGTCGGTGACTCTTGGATTATTGGCTGCTATTCAGAAATTGGAGGGTGAGAATGTGTAAACTTATAGTTATAGTATATCTTTAATCGTGAAGGGTTGTGGAGAATTTCTCATTAGTACAATAGATAATTTTTTTCGAGAGTTTCACACACATGTCGCAATCTTGAAATTACAAAGTTCTATCTGCCCAGCTCCTAGTTTTGAGAAATTTGACTTACAAATAAAAAAATTGAGCTTCACTAAATGCCAAGCTTTTTGAAATCCCATTCTAAAAATGTCTTGATAACGACTGTAAATATTTTTGCGACTTTGAAAAGGTAGACATTTGGTTTCTGACTTCATAGTCCTAGTATCTCAAAACGACCAACAATGTCAGAAAGAACTTTGTAATTCGGGGGCAGCGAAGTACTCTGAGTGAATCTTAGGTTTGAACAGGTACATTGTACATGATGTAGAAGTAGAAAGAACTCGAAAACTACACTGTAAGAGGCCAACTTCTAGATAACATTTGTGCCATTTACGAGAACAGCATAGGTACAGTAAGAACGTCAAAGGGACTCATAGAGTGGCTCGAGATAACATCTGGAGTAAGACAAGGTTGTGTCCTATCACCACTATTTATCATATACATGTATATGGATAGAATTACAAAAGAGGCCAACACAGAACGAGACGCCCTAAATGAATTTCTCTTAGCTTATGACCAAAACCTGGCACGCAAAAATGAACGAAGTCTCCAACACAACACCACCAGATTAAATGAAGAATGTAACAACTACGACATGAAAATCAACATTGACAAAACAGAGAAAGCCAGTACCACTCAGGATACACATCAACAGCAACAGTCTCAGACAGGTCCAAGAATTTAAGTACCTCGGAAGTATATTCACAGAGGATGGGCGAGTGAACAAAGAAAGTGAAACACGAGTACAAAAGGCCAATAATGTTAATTACCAGCTAACTCCACTACTGAAACATCCCAGCATCCCCATGACAACAAAACTCAAAATGATCAACACCATATTCATCCCAACACTCACCTATCAGTATCAATGCCAAACATGGACCACGAACAAGACATTAGAGCAAAGAATTACATGTGAAATGCGATGCCTTAGAAAAGCTGTAAACAAGACCAGGCGAGAAAACATTAGAAACTCAGTAATCCGATAAATTAATGGTGGGCCCGAATGATGTCTTGCATCACATCCAACGCCAA